TCCGCTTCGTCCACGGTGAAAGTTGATGTATTCCCTCAGCGATCAGCACGGATCAGCTCCAGGCATGACGAAGCAGATATCGTCCTCTTTTGGAAGACCAAACAAAGTAGATTCGCTTTCACAACGAAGCACACAGTGTCTTCACGACATGGCGGCAGCGTCAACAAAACTACAGTGAGACTAAAAGTTATGCCTTCTTTCTTTGCGTGAACATTTGGGCGACATTATGCAAATCTTCCCACATAGTGAGGTAGATATGTGGGGGCGTGTTAGAACGAGCCGTTTTAGGTAGGTGTGGCTGACTCTGAACTTTTATAAAGAATATCTCTTTGGATTTGAGACTTTAGTCTTTGCAATTTTACAGATCTTCTTTCTGCACCAAGAGCTTGTAACACTCCAAAGAGAAAGGAAAATTTAAATCACATCATATGACCCCTTTAAATAGAAAAATAGAAATGTGTAGCCCCATGTTTAATGATCCAGACTGGTAACTTTAATGGTTGTAGGTTCAAACTAGTCAAATCAGTCTAATTACAGCTATATTGCTTACTTTATATTCAACTCAAAATATACATTGCTTTCAAAAATCACAAACTAAACCTGTTCACTTGTTGGGTACTAGGAAATGCTGAAAACTGTGTATTTAAAAAAAATTGTATGTGAAACAGTAGCCTATGCATAATGAAAAACATTGTCGTCACATAAACATATAAAATTTTCCAGAATGAAACCCCTGCAAAAAAATTTCCCATAAAACTACCTTTAATGTTAGCATAAGTTGAGAAAATTACATGCGTCTGCGTTCAAGTTCATGTGATCACAGTAATTATGCATGTACAGTGGGGAAAAAAAGTATTTAGTCAGCCACCAATTGTGCAAGTTCTCCCACTTAAAAAGATGAGAGAGGCCTGTAATTTTCATCATAGGTATACCTCAACTATGAGAGACAAAATGAGAAAAAAAATCCAGAAAATCACATTGTAGGATTGTGTTCATTGCACTGACACAATCTGTTTTCCCTTCATCCCTCAGACAAACCAGTAAAATGCAGATGATCCCTAACAGCAGGGTTTGTTAGATCTAGTACAACACACACATCTTGTATTGATCACCTTGTGACAGAAGTGTCTGCAAGTCCAATAGTGTTTCAGTGGTGATCCAGTTCTTTGTAATGCAAGCAGCAGAGGATGTTAACCTCCATTTGTACAGTGACTCAATATTTGCAGAGAAAGGACTCATTGAATACTTTGTCATTTTTTATATGTATGCTCTTCAAAGCATTTGATCATCTTGATCTGTGGCTCATTACAGTGATCTTTTAAAGGCTGTATGTATTTACCAAAACAGTAACACTAATGACTAACATATAAGAATCTAGGCTGCTTTAAGGTGAAGTAACATCACCGATTTGAGATGCTATTTGAAATCGGGTTAAACATGATTTTCTTTACAACGATTGTTTATTGATCATTTCAGTCATTTTTTGTTCTCTTTTATCTTGACAGTACGTGTTTTTATTGGGCAAATAATTCGAATTTGTGACTGTGGCTCTGAAAAGCTGCACAGTTATTGCTTTGGATACTGCAGCAGTGAGACAGTTAACTGCAAGTCCAGAGTGACTTGACATTTTAAACAGGACTGTCTTGTTTGTTGTTGTTATTTATTTAATTTTAATTTTTTGTATTTCTTGCCTTGGTTAAAGATCAGGTCAGGACTTTGTTGCCTCACCCACAAACAGCTGCCCACCAAAACATAAAAATGTATAGTACACGAGTAATGGCGCTTAAAGGGATAGTTCATCCAAAAATTTAAATCCTGTCATCATTTACTCGCCCTCCACTTGTTCCAAACATGTATGAGTTTCTTTCTCCTGTTGAACACAAAGGAAGATATTTTGAAGAATGTCGGTAAGCAAAGAATTGACGGTAGCCATTGACTTCCATAGTATTTTTTCCCATACTATGGAAGTCAATGGCTACCGTCAACAACATATTTTGTGCTTAACATAAGAAAGACACCCATACCAGTCTGTAATGACGTGAGGGTGAGTAAATAACGACAGCAATTGCATTTTTGGGTTAAACATACATTTAAAGCTAGAAGAATTCCTCTGAGCCACAAAATGAATTCCTAGAATCTGCTCTGATTTCTACTAACGCTCCAGGGCAAAAAAAACCCAAAACATTTAACAATATTTTTTACTCCTTATAACTGCATTTAGCCCTTCAAAGTACATGTTTTCCCTTTTGAAAATCTTGCTAGCTAACAAGCCAATCTAATTACATTCCTGCCAATTTTATTTACTTTTACAGCCAATGAAATCCATTTCTATGTAAAATGTAATTGACCAAAGCAATGGTCATTTGTCTTGGTGAAGGGATGTCTCATCACTCACCACAACACAGTTTTTGACCTAAAGCTATTAGTGGGAGGTATAATTAAAATATCAAAGTATGAATAATCATACTCACAATACAGTTATTTTAGCTAGAAATCCCAATATGGGTTATTTTTGTTGCATAACCTTGTATAATCCTATAATGCCTTTCATTCTGAAGATAGAGGCCGCTCTTTCCTCACAGGCACCAGCACTAGAGAGCAGATCTCAGTATTAAACTGATGATTATTCACTACTCGGGCCATTTCTGGTCATGAGGTGAAAGACTGTTTGGTAATATAATGTTATGATAATCTAGATGGTTCATAATGGGCCTCAGCAACATTTACTGTGAGTGTGCATATAGATATGTCTCTGTCCACATACAGACAGACAGGGAATCACTGTAGTGCTGGATAAATGCCATCATTTATTCGGTAAATGAAAGAGCATTCACAATCAGCTGAGTAATGCATGATCCTTTATTGTCTCAACAACATTATTCTGAACAGTGTGTGGGAGACTACATTTTCAGGTTTTTGGCATGGAAGTGTGTTTAAAACGATTAGCTTTAAATAGGATTTGCTTCATGTATGACCATGTCAAATCCAATTCCCCAATGACCGTTTCACATGTCAAGAATAATCCGTGATTTAATACGCTTGTTCTCGCTTTAAAATGTCTCAGGCATATTCCCATCCACTGACATTTTTGAATATATAATTTAACTTTACTACTTGGAAAGGAGCACACTTTCTAATCAGGTTGAAAAAATGAGACAAAAAAATATTTAAAATAAAATGATACATATATGATTTAATGCATGGTCCAGTAATTGTTCATATTATCACAATTATTATTATTATAAGGATTATTAAACCATTGTTTTGACATTTAGATTGAATATGTCATATTACTTCGGAAAATTTGCTGTTTGTTGTTGTTTCATTTAATTACTGACTTTGACTCAGACATTTTCACCCCCCCCCAAAAAAAGGTATTTGGCGAAAAACATTTGAGTGCATATTGAGATATTACTTACACTCTTAAAAACAGAGGTTCTTCAGGAAAAATGTTGTTCATATTATTAAAATATTCTGTAGTGTAGATTACAGATTTTTGTATAATTGCTGAGTTGAAGCTCAAGAGGCGACATGATACTAGAGCCTTTTTCTGAGGGAAAAAATCTGAAAAGATGGATATTTCACAAAAAAAATCTCCATTTGCTCTCTTTTTAATGGCATTGATTTCTAGGAGATCAACTGAGATATTAATGAAATCTCATTTGTGATTTTTGTTATATTCATTATGGCATACATTTTGATCTAGAAGATGTTTTCGCTGTACATGGCATCAAAAATCACATATTTAATTTGCCTGGCATATTGTCAGCTTTAAAACTAACAAGGCTGAACATTTTATCCCATCAATAATGCATGATATTTACAGGCTGGTGTTGGAGCAGAGAAGAGCCTAGGGACTCGGTTTTCCCCTCGACTTCATTTGGTTGTGTGACAGGATCCATAACCCTCTCTGAATCCTATCAAATGATGTGGTATGAAGTGTCATCTTCTCTCTGAGCGCTTCTGAGGAGTTTCATCTCTGCAGGGAACTGTCATCAGGTTCCTCTTCCTTTCTCTCTCTCTCTCCCATTCCCATCAATTGGATGGGCTATCAGACACGTCCAATCAGAAGCCAGTTCCAGTGGTCAGACTGAAGGTGATCAGCAGGTGAAGTTGCTCCCCTCTGCATCTCTACTTCCTGTCCCACCAGGGCAGCATCCCCTCCATGTTTTTATCCATCCTGAATGCAGTGAAACAACACAAGTAGTCCTTGAGATGCACAAAAGATTTGTGTGTGTGTGTGTGTTTTTCCACTTTCTCTGTGTTTGTGTTATTTGAAAGGACAGGAATGCAACCTTGGAAAATAAAGTACTTTATAATAGTTGTAAAAGACTTACATAAATTCAACTTCTGCTAGGGTTTATGTGGGCATTAAATATTTTTCATGTACAACATTCATCACAATCAGTTCTCAAGCATTAGATTCGACTATAACATTCTTGTTTTTCTTACATATATCATGTTTATTCATCTCCAACATTTATATTCAAGTGCGTTCAAAAATATGTAACCATTTTTCTGTTTATGAAAGATTAATCCCCAGTTGCTGGTGTATTTTGCATGAATTTGTCGTGCCCTGAGGACAAATCCAACCCATAAAAATGTACATCCTCGCAGGGTAATAAATCTCTCCACACATAGCAACAATCTCGCAAAATCATTAATGTTTTTGTCCTCTCTTATCAATTCCATTTTCTGGAGTAATTGATCAGTAATCTAATTGGTCCAGTGACCCTCTGCATAATTAAACGCTATCAAAGTGATCTGTCGGCAACTGGCAGAGAACAGATGTTGCTCTTCAGTGGAGTAATCAGTCATTGACCCCTGGCTTGAGCCAATCACAATTACCTTGATTTGTGCAGTCCAGAGCGTGAGACCCCTTGTCCCAAGTCACTCAGAAACCCCTGAATGGATCAATAAACTCCTCAGTAGCTCCGCCCACCTTGTTCTTGTGCAATTTCAGTTTAGAACAGTGCATTTAAAACTTAGGTTTTAAGGTGAAATTAGTCATTTTACACCACTAGTGGCACTTACAGTAATTGCAATTCTTTTTAATACAACAAGTTGAGCAGAAATGATACACTTTACCACATCCAAAAATGAGTCGTGTTTTGATTCTTAAGATCACATTTACCATTTGCTCTGTGAAATTTTGCATGCAAAATCCAGTCACTTCAATAGGAATCCGGGCCCATCCCAAATGGTACATGTGGACTTGTGATCTTTGCTCCAAAATACTGTGGGCACATTTACCGTTGCTCTGCAAAATTTCACAGACAAACTTCTGTCATTTTTATAGGAATCCGCACAATTGTGTTTCACATGAGGGAGAGAAAGTTCCCATGTAGATTTTGCTCGTGTTCAAGTTATCATGTTGCTTTGATGGCTGCTTTATATCTGTGAGCTGTGCTTCATGCATCGCTACACTATTGACAACAATCTTTTCCCACGAAATTTCGCTAATGTGACTGCACCTTTACAGTTGTTGCAAACACGCTGATACTCACAGAAGTTTCAAGGGCAACAGCAATACTATGGTCCATCCCAAACTGTGCATGTGGACTTTGCGCCACAACACTATTAAGGCATGGTCACATTTACCGTTGCTTGGTCAAAATTTTGTGAAAGAAATCCAGTACTTTCTGTAGGAATCTGCATGATCAGGAGTTTCGCATGATGGGGAAAAATTTGCTAGTGCAGATTTATTTCATGTTCATGTGCTTCATGCATGGCTACATTCTTGACAATGGACAGTGGACCTTTTGCCTGCTAAATTTAGCTGAAAGTTGGCTAATGTGACCACACTTTAAGCTGTCCTTTTTGCCATTTTACTATATAAGAAGAATGCTCAACAGCACCCTCTTTGCGCCACTACACTCTTGATTTCACACTAGACTTCACAGAGGACTACTACCCAATAGTAGGTAATAGTAGGGACCATACGTGCCCTTTTTCCCCAGACACATCCTGTCCGGCCAGGATTTCTATATTGCCTGAAATATCCAGGTTTTGGCTTCGCTTGCGCTGTGCGGACCGATCGGTGTTATGACATCAAAGTACCATGAGAGCTATAGAAAACAGACGGCTCCTTATACTTTCAAATCAGTCTCGCTGTACTTTGATGTCATACACTGATCGGTCTGCGCAGCACCGCTTCAAGTTGAGCACACCTAATATGTATGAATATTTGCATTGCTTTGACCATTCTCTATAGATCCTACCTTCTCACGCACCATGATTGGTTGATTATGTACAATGCCTGCATGTTACTGGTTAAACTACTTTTCGATCATTACCTTCAGCAAGTATGAAAACAGGAAAATAAACCCAAAACCTGGATATTTGAGGCAATATAGAAATCCTGGCCAGGACGTGTCCGGGAAAAAGGGCACATATGGTCACCCTACCCAATAGTCTATTTGGCATTATGCTACCAAAATGTGGACTACATGGGTGCCATTTGGGACAAAGCCGATATTTATTTTACAGATAGTTCGGTAAAATTAAAATACTTGCTTTACTTTGAATTTGTAACAGCGACTGATGAGTGTATAACAATAAACTGTAATATATTTTCTCACTGGTTTGTTTTGTCAAATTTTTTTGTTCTCAGTTTAGGAGTGCTGGCTCATCTTGCATGCAAAGAGGAATTAAACATAATTGGAGTGTTGTGTACCTGTTACAAAGCCACATGAAAGTTGTGATCATCCTCCGAATGAAATCTGAATCGTCAAATCATTTCTGTGTGCCTATAAAATCCTGATGTGATCCCGTAAATACAATGGCTTTCTTTTGTACACTTTCAACAGCTGCACTCACCATTCAAAGAATCAATAAAAGACCTTGAAGAAATTATGCCAGCTGATATGATGTAATCTTTTATTGTTGACTAGATAATGGCTGGGCTGTACGTGACTGAATCACTCAGTACTCTTTTATTCACTCTCTTTCTATCTCTCGCTCTTTATCTCTCTCTCAGTGCTATGGATGTCCTGTCTCAAACAACCAGGAGACACACTCTGCCTCCTCTTTCGCTTCGGTTTCATCAGCAGTGCTGGGATAAAAGGGCCTTAGAGGCAGAATAATTAGATCAAACAATAGATTTAGGATTCAATACAAAATAAGAACATCCTCTGTGTTTTTGGAAAGGTTTACCCTCGTTCAGCAGCTACTCAGAGCTTCCCCAGTCCGAAAATACCAGTTAGTGCTGGCTTGGCTCACAACGGTCCATTGCTTGATTTTAGAGAAAGTAATGACAGCTGGAAGCCTTAAAGTCTTTAGGAAGGAGGCATGAGCTCTTGCTGGGCTGTTTGAGAATCCAAGGATAGCCAAATAACGGTTTGAAATCAACGGCATGAACAATTCTGAAAAACAAGGCAGAGTTAAGTTTAGCTCAAGGGTACGAGATAGGCTACAAGTGCACCAATGTAAACACTTCTAGCTCTCTAATCAAAAGATTCAACTTTGAATATCAAAGATTACTCAAGTGTGTGTGTGTGTGTGTGCAAATAAATAAAAACAACAAAATATGATTAAAAAAAGTAAATGTGTAATGAGAGCATAAACATAATTTAAAAGCTGACTCCACTTGGAAAAATGTGTTTACATTTTTATATTAATTTTGACAGCCACATTAAAGCATAATCTACTTTGTGCATCAACAGCTTGTCCTTTTATTTTTATTTTTTGGTTGTGATTCACAATTTAGTGTAATGTATAGGCTAAATATGATTTTCATTTTTAATATGCAAGAGTAAAATGTTAAACATTTAAAGTAAATTTTAATTTACTTAGTTTTGATACAGGGTAATTCATGGAATCGTAAACAAGAGACTCGCTCCGAACAGTTTTAAAGGGGTCATATGATGCGATTTCAAGTTTTCCTTTCTCTTTGAAGTGTTACAAGCTGATTGTGCATAGATAAGATCCCTGAAGTTGCAAAGACTAAAGTCTCAAAACCAAAGAGATATTCTTTATCAAAGTTAAGACTCTGCCACGCCCCCCTAAAACGGCTCGTTCTAACACGCCCCCACATATCTACCTCACTATGTGGAAATATTAGCATAATGCCACCAAAATGTTCACGCAAAGAAAGAAGGCGTGGTTTCAGTAACCGCAGTTAGTGTTGAAGCAGCCATCTCAGGGAGAAGCTGTGTGTTTCAGTGCGAAAGCAAAAGCACTTTATTTGGCCTTCCAGAAGTAGATGCATTTAGGAATCTTTAAGATGACTTACAACAGAACAGCAATGCATTTTATGGACGACCGTTTTGTGAACCTAGGAGAGGCGGCAATTCTGACAATCTGGCGCTTCTGAATCAGTTACTGTTTTGTTATTAGTTTAAGTATATACTATTGACTGTTCAAATGTGGAGTTTTGCGCATTGTGTGTGTGTGAGAGAGAGAGAGAGCGAGAGAGAGAGAGAGAGAGAGAGAGAGAGAGAGAGAGAGGGTCACATCACAGTGGAGTCAGCTGTCTTAACCGTGACTTGTGTACTGCAAACACATACCAGCTTCATCACTGTGTCTGTCATGCGACTCTGTTCCCCTTTCGGGCTCTGTCTTTACATTTATTTTGAAAGATGAAGCTCGTGATTATGGTAAGGGGCGTTACATTTCCGATGAGTGCTTGCGGTGTTCGGCCAATCACAATGCACTGGGTCAGCTGGCCAATCAGAGCAGACTGCGCTTGTCGGAAGGAGGGACTTTGTAGAAAACGAAGCGTTTGAGAGAGGCGGGGCATAGAGGGCCTACAATAATGTACAGTATTTGAAAAATAATGTGTTTTTTGAACATTAAAGCATGTCAACATATTCTGTTACACCAAATACACAAAATAATGATCTTTAAAAAAGCATCATATGACCCCTTTAAATCAGCCTGGCGAACAGCTGCAAACGGATCAGTTCAGGTCGTGATTGAATCGTTGACTGCGATTTGATCAGTAATAAGAACCGAAAAGAATCGGCTCACAAGAATAATTCATTAGCGAATAAGATGTCACTAATGGTGAGCAGGTATCTACGTCTTCGGTTTGAACCATAGACTGTATAAAAAACATGGGCATAGTGTCCGTGACGTCACCCGTAGGTTTCTGTTGACCGTTTTTGAAGCTCAAAGTGGGCGGAGCCGGCCGTCGCCATCTTGGCAGCGCATCTCCCCGATAATCGAAAGTGGGCAAAGAGGCGGGAGCTGGTTGTTGAAACCACACCCACCTAGCGCGCTGGCGGTGACAGCAGCGCCAATCCATCTGTCACTCAAGTGGCCACGCCCTTAATTATGCAGAGCTTTAAGGCTTAATAACAGATGAGTTATAAAAAAATTCACCCCCTTCACAGTTGTTATGAAGGGCAAAATGAACTATATAGACCAAAACCACTTTTTGTACCAGGTTGTAAACATTTTTTTTTCTGCTGTAAAGTTAGTCACTTCCGTGTTGGTTTCACAAGAGAGACCGGAAGGTTGCCGCTTGGTTTGAACTAACGATTGGCATTTAATTTTTTATGAAATGTAATTAAGTAAAACCAAGATATTCTTTTTAATGTGTTTAAGAAAACGTTTTTCTAAAATGAGAATACTCTGTTAAAGTTAAATACGCATAGTGAAGTAAAATACTGCTCGTTTACGTTTGTCAAGCATTGGCGTGTGCTTTTGTATAGGCTACTTGTTTACTGCTTACTTCTGGTTGTTAGCAGATTATTAAATATAACCACAAAACATTTTTGTTTTTTTATATTTACCATGGAGGTCAATCAGGATGTATTTGTGGCTGTAAATGTGTTATTTTAGGAATCAGGTGTCATTGTGGAATTTCCCCAGGGATCCCAGAGTGTGCTGTAAATGAATGTGGCATCTCATTAACAATCAACATGGTGAGTACAACCTGGCTTGGGCCTGTTTTACATTCCTGACACTTTCATACTTCACAAATTAACTTCACGCTTGTTTATTCCTCACTAACCGTGAATGATTTTACATTAACAGTATTTATGGACCTCTGTAGCTCACACATCATACTGAAACAAATACATTGTATGCAAACAAGTGAACACAAAAAAATATTTTCTGTTTGAAAACCACCTTGTCTGTGTAGGCTCAAATGTAACAGATCCATATGGAAATGATATTTGATGTCAAATCCATTAGCACAAACATCAAATTACCATGCAATTAACATCTACAGACCAATACAGCACAATTTTAACACCCTTAAATAAATATTAATTAATGCGTACACACAGAGACACACGCTTGCTGAAGTGTTCCCTTGCCAAAACAAACACACTCCAGAGAGAAGCACAGATTACCAGAGTTCAGCGTCCCAGCATCATGATGAAACTTCACGGAAATAACCTGCAACATCTGCACCGTGGACACTGCTGCAGAGCAAATGCATCTTTGCGTCGCACTTCTCGCCTCACTCCCTTGCCCCAATGCATTGTGGGGGTTTTGGTGACAGAGAAGCATTTCAGTCAAGCTTAGTCCTTTATGAAGCTGTCATGTTAGCCTGTGCTCCAAAACCTAGTGAGCTGCCTACCTAGACAGCATTTCGAGATGCTTTAAAAATACCTCATTTTGATATTCTATTGTCCTTGGAAGATGATGTAAAAAGGCACAAAATCGGACTGCTAATGTTGAATTTGCGGATGCTTGTCAACAAAAAATGTCCCCAAGTTATGAATAAACAATGCTATGCAACACTGGCATTGGTTATGCATGTTTACTAAACAGGTTTTCTCATCATGTAACTTAGATTTTTTTTATTTTTGTTTATGCATTTTTTGCTTAAAAGTGATTAATGTGTGAATGTGAATATTTATTGTTCCAAGTGAGGTTCCAAGTTGGAAGTGCCGTTTTGTTACAATTGGAAATTCTAACTTTTGAATAGAATGCCACATAAGGCAAAACTAATTAAATAACGCAATCCCAGAAAGAATCGCAGCAAGCTTGGTGAAAAACAAATCTATTTATTAAAGAATATAGAAATGCTGATTATAGCCTAATTATACTTATATACTATTTAATATAAAAAAGTACTGATACAAATGGAAGCCCCTTTCCGACACAGATCAAATATATATATATATATATATATAGGTAATTCCTACTTATCAACAATGCAGACTTTGTTTCTCACAAACTTTTGCTTCTCAGAACAGCGAGATAATATAAACATAATTCCTATATATAAAAATCTAAATTCTGAGAAAAAAAAATCATTCTTGCAATTCTGACTTTTTTTTTCTCTGAATTCTGAGTTTACATCTCATAATTCTTTTTTTTCTCACACGGAATAAAAAAAAGAAAAAATGTATTTTTTTTCAAATTTCATAACTCTTTTTTTTCCCTCACAATTTTGAATTTATATCTCACAACTCGAGACTTTTCTTCTCAGAATTGTGTTTTTCCTTGCAATTTTTTTACTAATTCCTTGGAAGAAACAGGCTTCCATAATGTAGTTCTAAATATATAAGTATAAATATATATATAACACTGTGCTACTTTTGTAATGTTTTTCTATGTAAACGCACTGGACGGACATGTATAACTGTTACACATGAGTCTTTTGCAGCGTCTCACACATGATGCAGTGCTCAAGTTAAAATAATTTTGAATAAAAAAAATTAAAAAAAAACTTTCAAGACCTTGTGTTCTATCCTATTCCACAGAAAAAAACATGTTTGGTGTGATTGGCCCCTTATGTGTGCCGCATGGAGTTGCTGCCTATGTAGAGTGTTTCAAATCAGACAGTTTTGAGGTTTATTCAGGTAGAATGTTGCCTTAGAAGGCAGCAGACAGCAACACAGCTCACTCAATTTCAGAACAAAGTTATTATGTGGAATAAATGTTTCAGTTATGAAAATTTGTCTGGGAGCTTCAAGGGTTCCCGAGGTTTACACATTTGTCCCATAATGCCTCAGAGACCAAAGAAACTTTAATTACAAATCAAGCAGCACGGGCTGTTGCCAATGAAGCGGCCGTTCTATGCACACACTCCAAAAAGAAGTGTTATTCTTAATTGCAGGTCAGTGTAAAACTGATGTGTCAGCTGCTGTGACTGCTAATTAATTCTGCTCACAAACGAGGCCAGAGACAATCTCCATCTGCTGCTGTTTAACCTGGGAGAGAGTTGCATGTCGGATTGTCATGCTCTTATTATGATAGAGTGCTCGTCTGTGATTATGACTTTTAATGGAACAAGGAACACTGACGCACATGCTAGTTATCACAATCTAAAAGGTTTTGAATCCAACTACACAAATGTGCGTTTTCTGTAGCAGCGATTTTGTATTATTGTATTATTTTGTATTATTTCAAGCATCCAGTCTTTCATAAATAACTAATAAAATCTTCCAGAAATTATAAATAATTAATAAATTAATATTTATAAATTAATACAATCATTGTAAATCAGAGTAATTAAAATGAATGTTGTATATGTTTCATTTGCATACCAATTATTAGCTAACATGTCAATTAAAACAATGCTTAATTAAATATATTTTTCTGATACCTTTTATACTATATTAGATGTTGGGGAAATGTGTCAGAAGAGGTCACAAAAGGTCAACTTGCGCTCAATGAACTGTATTTTTTCCCCGGGCAACAGAGGAAGAGTGTGTGTGTGTAAGTATATATACAGAGTT